TTTATACGTATATGCTTCTAAACTGTTGTATTCTGAGCACCTCTGCAAAAGCAGTGATAATGTGTGAGTGTGGTGAAAGTGTTGAATGATGATGAAAGCATTTTCTTTTTGGGGATTTTCTTTCTTTTTTGGGTCACCCTGCCTCGGTGGGAGACGGCCAACTTGTTGGAAAAAAAAAAAAAAATACTAATACTAACACTAATAATAATAATTATAATTATAGATGGCTTCAAAAGGCCATCACTAGATGGCAGTACAGTGGACCCTCGACTAACGCTATTAATCCGTTCCTGAGAGCTCATCGTTAGTCAAAATTATCGTTAGTCAAGTTAATTTTCCCCATAAGAAATAATGGAAATCAAATTAATCCATATAGGACACCCCAAAGTATGAAAAAAATTGTTTTTACCACATGAAATATTAATTTTAATACACACAAACTGAAGAAGACATGCACAGTTACATGACACTTACCTTTATTGAAGATCTGGTGATGATTGATGGGATGGGAGGAGGGGAGAGTGCTGATGGTCTTTGTGTTTAGAAGGGGAATCCCCTTCCATTAGGACTTGAGGTGGCAAGTCCTTTTCCGGGGTTACTTCCCTTCCCTTTAAATCTCTCAAACCAACCTTTGCTGGCCTTAAATTCACTCACGTCACCACTAGTTGCTGGCATTTTTTTAATTAAATCGTCATGCAACTTCCTAGCCTTTTCACATATGGTCGCTTGAGAGATGCTATCTCCTGCTATCTGTTTTTCGTTTATCCACACCAATAACAGTCTCTCAACATCTTCGAGTACTTGTGATCTCAGTTTCGAAAACATAGTTGCACCTTTGGCAAGAACAGTTTCCTTGATTGCCGTTTTCTTGCCCACAATAGTAGCGATGGTTGATTGGGGTTTTGTGTACAACGTGGCCAGCTCGGAGACACGCACTCCACTTTCATACTTAGCAATGATCTCTTTCTTCATATCCATAGTAATTCTCACCCTTTTTGCTGTAGGGTTGGCACTAGAAGCTTTCTTGGGGCCCATGGTGACTTATTTTGCAGGTGCAATCACTAAAAAGGCTGTGATAATATGAAATGCTCCGATTGTATGCTTGGAAGCGACCTCGGTGGCTGGCTGGCTTGTAAACACTGGCCAGAAGTGGACGCGTCTCAGACGGAACGAATAGTGTTGGTCGAGTTTTTTAGCGCTAGTCGAGGCAAAATTTTTGCGTTAAAATGTATCGCTAGTCGGATTTATCGTTAATCGATGCCATCATTGGTCGAGGGTACACTTTATTTACCACAACAGAGCGGGAGTGGTTGTGGCCATCTCCACCTGTTACATGATGACATATTTTATTCATTCTAGAGTATATATCAGGTTTCTAGGTTAGTATTTATATTGTTTATCATGTCATATTAGATGAATTGTGATAGATAAATAAGCCATATATATGATATTAGCGAAATTATTCAAGAAGTATTTTGTCCAGTCTCCAGACAAACTCTCGTCCTCCAACGATACCACTACATGAATGACATACTTTATTCATTCTAGAATATATATCAGGCTTCTAGGTTATTTATATTGTTTATTATGTCATATTAGATGAATTTTGATAGATAAATAAGCCATATAGATGATATTAGTGAAATTATTCAAGGAGTATTTTGTCCGGTCTCCAGACAAACTCTCGTCTGCCGACGATACCACTACATAAATGACATATTTTTTTCATTCTAGAGTATATATCAGGTTTCTATGTTATCAATATCGTTTATTATGTCGTATCAGATTAATTGTGATAGATAAATAAGCCGTAGAGTTGATATTAGGGAAATTATTGAAGAACAGAATTCCACTGGAACAGATTAATTGCATTTCAGTTAATTTAAATGAGGAAAATTGACTCTGCAAACAAGCAAATCCAGATGCCAGCAAGGTCACAGAACGGATTAAACTCGTTAGTGGAGGTTCCACTGTATATCAATAAATGGTTCCCCTACTGCAAGACACACTGAGGGTAAATTTCTAGGTCTTCTCTTTGACTGTAATATTAAATTTCATTCCCACATCCAACATATAACCAAGAAAATTTCCAAATCAGTAGGCATCCTTTTAAAAATACTATACTATGTACCCCAAACAACACTCTATACCACTCTTTAATATATCCCTACCTCACCTATGGTATTTGTGCCTGGGGATAAACCACAGCCAACCACTTTAAACCTTGAATAGCCCGAAAGAAAGCTGCTGTGTGGATGAGTACCAGCTCCTGTGCTAGACAACACACCCCATCACTTTTTAAAACTCTGAAATTGCTAAATATATAAGACATATACTCATATTATTGTGCCTTCTATATATACAGAATATTAAACTCCAATATAAGCCCTCCACTCAAACTTCTCCTTGCTAACTTCAACAGAACGCACAGTCACAATACAAGACATAAGGCACTCTTCGACATCCCTCGTGTCAGTCTCACAGCATGCAAAAATGCAATACACATAAAGGGCCCAAAGATCTGGAACCCACTACCTGAACCGGTAAAGGATCCCCTGACTACCTATAAATTTAGGACTTGCTTAAAAATCATCTCATCTCTCAATACTAACCAAACCAACCAAAACAACTTCTAATCATTTATTATATTATGTGACCTCTAGTCTATTAAACATCTGCCAATCTATGAAATATTACTGCTTGAACCATTAACTATAATACTGTTTTTATTACACGTATGTGCAAGTTCGAGATTATTATTCTTATAAACCTCCACCTTGACTACCTCACATTAGTCTTAATATTAACCCTTAAATGGTCCAAACGTATATATACGTTTTTTCAACATCTGAAAGTATGTAAAAAAATGTAGATCTTTTTTTTTTTTGTTTTACATGTGAAAACGTGTAAAAACTTTTATCCACATTTTTTTGTTATATTTGAAAATGTGTAAAAAAAGTAGATCTACTTTTGCAGCACTACGAATTTGAACGTCGATCTGTTTGGACCGTTTAAGGGTTAAATAAGATTATAATAAACTTAACCACTATCATCTTATCTAGAATTAAGTAGTTATTATGTACTAGGATTAGTCTGCCCGAAATGCCCCAGCACGATAGTGGCTTTCCTCGTACTTAATTTATTTTTTATTAACATATCGGCCGATTCCCACCAAGGCAGGGTGGCCCGAAAAAGAAAAACTTTCATCATCATTCACCCCATCACTGTCTTGCCAGAGGGGTGCTTAACACTACAGTTATAAAACTGCAACATTAACACCCCTCCTTGTACTTATTAGACCAAAACTGTAATTACACTTGGTAACCTTACAAGGAAATAAAATCTTTATCTTTATCTTTTATCTTTAAATATAAAAAAAAAACACAATAAAATGCGAAGAAACATTAAATAGTTTACAGAATGTTCTGGCAGGTCGTGTTTGTTTGGTCGAGTGCTGAGCTTTGTTTGAGTAGGGAGCTGTTTGAGTACCGAGTTTCCACTGTATACTAGCTCCCTCACTCTCTTGCATTAGTTTGACTTTGTAAATGGTTCAAGTTGGACCGAAACATAGTCGTAAGCTTCTGTCTCTATGTGTGGGTTACCTGTGTATCTACTGCACGCTTCCATATTCAAGCTTCCTATGACTATCCTGGGTCCTGGCCATTGTTCGATGCCACTCCCTTGGGTCCCTCTGCGTTTAACCCATGTAACATTTTGCCAGGTCTGCAATAAGATCTTATCAGACAGAGTACTCCTACAACCATTCTTCATAGGTGTACTCCACAGCCAGATGGTTCAAAAAGGAACTTCGCACTAGCACCTAATGCCATCTACATAGCTGTTAGTATGCTCTGTCCTATTGGTCCTGCTTGACTTGCCCAGTCAAGGCCTTTAACAATGGTCCTCTTCTTGGGCATTATGTAGTTTCCCCTGAGCTACATTGCTCTTTGGAGACATATATGCTGGGCCCTTGGTGAAGCTTGCATGTTACTTAGGGCATTCAACCTTACAAAATCTGGTCTATAAATACAAGGCATAATATCTGTCTCTGTCTGGACAGCACATCTGAAGTCACAGCAAGGTGCACCCTCCCAGTAGTGTAAAGATTTGGGATACCATGCCTGGGTTGGAGTTGACCCAACATTAGGTCAGAGTGATCTCTAGACCCTGTAATTAGCTTACTATTACCTTGTGTTTGAGGGTTTTTCATCTGGAACTACACATGGTTGCTTGTTGGCTGTTGCTTATTCAGGTGAATGGTACAGCTGCAATGCTCAGAATATGATTTCTAACTACCTGAAGGTCATCATGGCTGTCAACTTCAACCAGGCTTGTTGGAAGATACTGAAAGTGCCATTCCTGCTGTGTATCTACCCCTTCAGTTTTGTGTGTTCTGTTGGTACAGTTTTTATTAGGCTTGAACCATCCCACCACAGAACATATAGTTCTCAACATATTAAACAATTTCTCCCTAAGGGCCCATGGATTATGTCACCTCCCCCATGTGTACTGTCTTGGATACCAAACAGTGATTCAACCATTGTGAGGTGTCAGATTATGGCACTGACAATAAATGTGTAATGACAGGCAAATGGAAGTGGAAGAAAGCCTACATTGAGTGCAACAGTGCACAATAGACTCTGCTGAGGTCTATAGATGAGCATTCAGTGCTCCTCATGAGAGCAAAGACCTTTTGCAAAGAGATGCATTTTTCATATAAAAATATTTATCATGCAGAATAATGTTTATGACCTGAATGAGCTTAGTATATCTGCCATGAGCATGGAACCCATCTACATCATAAAACAAAGGACACCTCAATGAATTCAAATTTTTCCTTTGAAAAAATCAATTTCATCATTATAACAAAGATAAAGAAAAAATACATTTTTATATCATTATAATAAAGATACTAAAGAACAATTAAATCTTAATATTATCAGAGGGGAGATATACATTAAAAGTAAGTATACTGTACCAAGATTTTAAGAGAGACATACCATACATTTTCCTGGATTGTCCATCAGCACCAGTCACAGCCTGGTGCATATGGTGATGAAGGAAGCCCAACCAGTCATTCAACTCAGCTTCTGACTCTGCTGCCATGCAGAGAGAGTCGTGATTTGTGTAGAGGGCAATTACATGGTTGTGTTTAGGATCCTTCTTGCGGTTTATGTTAAAACAAGTATGAAGAACAATTGGCCTGTAAGAGAGCAAGATAAAATATTGTACACTGTATAATGCAGTTATTAAAAATCACAATATTGTATTATCAGAATTTTTTAAAATACAATTAGAATGAATTTATTTGTAAACAGAAGACAGAATATACATTTTTCCACATTTTTGCCACATACGGCTAGTAATGTAAGTAGTGCTGCTTATGGTACATAATGATGTACCTTTGAAATGATGCCAACTGTTTTTGACACATTTTTTGTTGTGTGTTGGATATGGGTGTTGAATTTCAAGTTACTGTCAAAGTGCAATATGAGTATTGTCAATCATAATGTTTAGCTGGACACTATTTGCTCTGCTCCCAAACATAATATAGAATGTTTTGTCAATGTTAAGTAAGTTTTTTGGTAGTCATCCAGGTTGAAATTTTTAAGAGCTCTTCATTAACAATGTTGTTGAGTGATGCAAGATTTGGGTGGGAGATGACAAAAGTTGTATTATCAGCAAAGAGAATAAGTATAAGTTGCTGTAATTCATTTGGAAGGTCGTTAATATATAAAAGAAATAGTAGGGGGTCCAGGACGCTTTCCTGTGGAACGCCAATGTCCGGAGGTCTTGTTCAGGAGGGTGTGTCCTTAATAGAGAAGTATTGCAGTCGGTTAGTAAGGTAATGAACAAGTTTGTGAAACAGGATGCTGTGGTCAACTGTATCAAAAGCTTTCCTTAGGTCGATAAAGAGTTCTAGTGGACATTCAAATTTTTTCCAGTGCTGTGTAAAGTAGGTCTAGCATTTTTATAATTGCATAATTTGTGCTTTTGTTTCTCCTGAAGCCAAACTGGCAGGAGTTGAGAATGTTTTGTGATGTTAAAAAGGAGTATAATCTCCTGTGTATGAGTTTCTCAAAGATTCTGGACAGTAAAGGCAAGTTTGATATTAGCCTATAGCTAAATAACAAAAAAAGGCACAATACCATGACTGGAACAATACACAAATAACCCGCACATAGAAGAGAGGAGCTCACGACGATGTTTCGGTCTGACTTGGACCATTTGCAAAGTCACACTATTGAAAAGGAGAGAAGGAGGGAGTATATATAGGCCAGCAGACACAGATGGGACAAGAGAGGTAGTAGTAGAGGTAGTAGTAGTGGAAGTATTAGTAGCAGTGGTAGAGGAAGCAATAATAGTAGTGGAGTCAGTCAAATACTACTAAGAAAGAGGAGTACTGCAAGGGAGCTAGGAGCCCACAGAGAGTATTAGCAAGAACACAGAGGGGGGGGGGATAAAGGAATAAATACCCAAGGAAGAAGAAAGAAAACCCAAAGGAGAAAGAGGAAAGAGGAATGGAGAAGACGGAGAATGGGAAAGGAAGGCTTCTACAGAGACAAAGCCATGACAAAGATTCATACAAATAAAATTGTGTATAAGGGAGGATTCAAACAGACAGTGACTGTGAAAGTTGGAAGTAAGGTAGACAGGTTTAGCAGAAGATCAGTCAATAGGATGACTGTGATCTCTGACATGACAGAAAAGAGCACTGTTGGTGTCGGCAAGCCAAACACTACTTTTGTGCTCCCTAAGTCTGTCAGAAAGAGTTCAGCCAGTTTCTCCAAAGTACTAAAGAGGACAGGAGGAACAAGAAATAGAGTAGACACTAGGAGCATCTATAGAGGGAGTAGAGGTACGAACTATATTAGTGTGAAGAGTGTTAGTCTGATGAAAAGTAAGTTTGATGTCTAAGGAAAGGAGAGAGTTGTTGAGATTAGAAAGACCAGAAATGTAGGGAAGGCAAAGGACAGGAGAGTTCCCATGAGTGGAGAGTTTGGGAGAGAAGAAAGTCCGTTTAGCACGTGAGAAGGCAGAGTCTATGAAATGGGAAGGGTAGCCAAGATGGGAAAATGAATTATGAAGAGTGGAATTTTCTGATTCTAGGAAATGAGGATCACAAATGCGGAGAACATGGAGAAAGAGGGAGATAAGAACACTTTTCTTGACAGAGGAAGCATAAGAAAAGTAGTGAATGTACATGCAACTGTGCATAGGCTTGCAGTACACGGAAAAGGCAAAACCTGTATCTGAGCAGTGGACATGGACATCAAGGAAAGGAAGCAAGGAATTAGATTTTCATTCAGCTTTAAACTTATTGGATAGGGCAAGATTATTAAGATCATCAAGAAATGGCTGGAAGAGACTAGGGTCATGAGACCACAGAGCAAAAATATCATCTACATAGTGGAGCCAGAGTGAAGGGCGCACATCAATAGTAGGAAGAACAGTCTCGAAGTATTCCAGATAAAGATTAGCAAGAACAGGAGAAAGAGGAGAGCCCATAGTGACACCGAAGGTTTGAGAATGATATTTACCTTGGAAGGAAAAGAAATTTGAGTCCACACAAAGGCAGGTTATTTGGGTAGCCTATGGTTATTTACATCTCTTGGGTCCCCACCTTCGTGTATTGGAGAAACCCTTGTTATCCTGAGAAATGTCAGGAAAGTGCTGGTTTCTAGTTATTTGTTGAAGAGTAATGTAATGGTGGGTGAGAGGACATAAACCACTCATTTGAACACTAGTGGTGGGTAAGAGAATATGAACCACTCGTTTGAACACTAGTGGTGGGATGTGAGCTAGATTTCCTGATTTGTTTTTTAGTGAATTAACCCTTTCAGGGTCCGTCCCGTAGATCTACGGCTTTACGTTCAGGGTCCAAACCGTAGATCTACGCCATGAGCTCAGCTCACTCTGATAAACTGTGAGTGGTACATTTGGGCCTAGATATGAGAGAATACATCTATGTGGTATGTGTGCACCACATAAAACAGATCCTGTAGCACACTGTGTATAATGAGAGAAAAAAAATGAAATCATGATTTTTCGATTAAAACAGCAACTTTGCAGTGTTTTTTCGTATGTTTTTTATAGTTGTATTTGCGATTTCTTGGTCTCATTTGATAGAATGGAAGACATTTACAGAAATAGAGATGATTTTGATTGGTTTTAGCACTGGAAATGGCTTGAAACTGAGCTCAAAGTAGCAGAAATGTTAAATTTTTGCCGATATTCAAGAGTAAACAAACGACCTCACACGTCTAATCTACACGTCAGCTGGTGGGTCTAATATACATTCACAAATATGGTGATGATATTTATACAATTATTACAGTATTGCATAACAGTAAATCTTCTATTTTTTGGTGTGAATAAAAATTCATTATGTGAATAAAAAATCAAAATGGAATTTATTTGTAAAGCCTCAAAACATAACTAATGAACAGAGGAAATGTTAGTTTAGTGCCAGGAATGCCTACATTGTTCATTCTGGACCCTGTTTTGAAATTGGAATATTTTGAACTTTGTGTTAAATTGGCCAAATTAACAATTTCCGATCACTTTATTTTGTAGTTGAAATAGTTGACTTGGTGATTTCTTGTGCTCAATCGATAGAATAGAAGTAATACTAGTGAAATAGCTAAGAATTTGGTTGACTGGAATAATGTAATTGGCCTAAAATGGGAGTCAAAGTCTGCAAAATCGCCGATTCGTAAATATCGCTGACACATCAAAATTCGCGAGAGCATAATTTCGTCAATTTTCCACCAAATTTCGTACTTTTTGTTTTATTACCTTCACAAAAAGATTCTCTACGATTTCATAAGAAAAAATAACAAATTTTTTTTTTGAAAATTCTTGGACACTGGTGCGTGACTCCAGATTTGGGCCTTGGACCCTGAAAGGGTTAATAACTGTGGTGACTTCAGAATTTGAGCAGTACTTGATAAGTTTCAGCTGTGGGGCTAAACTGGACTATGTACACTGAACACTATTCATTTATTTATTTATTTATTTATTTATTAATTTGAACATGATACAGAGAAGTACAAGGAATACAATTTTTAAAGTGCAGCATGCCAAAGCCCCTTGTATGCAGAGCATTATGGGCAGGCTTAAAATTAACTTAAGATTAACTAAGCAATGACATATTCAGTGGTACAAAAATTATTGTAAAACAGATAACAATTTAGTACAAATGAGTATTACAAAGAAGGCCATATGGTCTTTTATGTGTTGCTGTGTAATCATAGAAGGAGTATTCTGTTGGTAATGAAGTTAAATAGTAAAAAAGTTTATTGGGTCACAGTTAAATTTTATGAGTACAATAATGAGATACATAATGAGATACAATTTGAGATACAATTATTCAGTTTTTATTTAGTTGTGGGTGATAAGTGATTTTTGAGAAGAGACTTGAATTTAAAACAGACAGTGTTTCTTTTATTTTCACGGGAAAGAACCCCGATTTTGGGCCCTTTTATGGCATTAGCTTTTGCAAGCTGAGAGGACACGAGGAACATCAAAGAGTGATCGTGCCTTGTGTTAGGGTCGTGTTCTTTTTAAGGGGTTGGTAAGGGAATGTTTGGGGGGGGTTTATGTCAGAGTTAAGTGTTTATGTATGTAGTGGGTGCAGAAATAATTTGGGATGTTTTGTATTGGAGTAGGTTTAGAGTTTAAAATATTGGTGGAGTGTGTTGTCTGAGGGGGGATTTGTTATCACTCTACTGCGCCTTTTTTTGGGGTGATTAGGGGTCTGAGATGGTTTTTGTTGTTGGCCCCCATGCAAAAAATTCATAGGTAGATAGGGTAAATAAGTGAGTGATTAGGGCCAGGAGGGCTGACTGGGGAACATATAATTTATCTTCGATAGAATTGCTAGGGTTTGGAAATTTTTTGGTTAATTTGTTGTATATGTGTTTAAAAATTTGAGTCTATTATCAAGGGGGATTCCTAAAAATTTTTCCCTCTGTGAGTTTTGTGATAGGTGATCCATTTATCATTTGTTAGAGCAATCTGTAGTCTTTCCCAAAACGGATGTAGTAATTTTGTAATTTTTGAGTAAGTTTGTTGGCCCCCATCCGGGTTGATATTTTCTGTAATTCGGTTTTTACAGTATTGGTTTAGCATGCTGGGGCTCGGGTGAGAGAAAGGTATGTAGGTCATCTGCAAAACAGTGGGGGTTTGATATTGCGATGC